TAATTCATATTTATTCTGTTTTAATTAATATTTATTCTTTTTACTGTAAACTGCCCAGAGTCATTCTGCAGTAAGATAGGCAGTGACAAATTTGAATTATAAATAAATAAAACTTCCAAGTTGTGAGTGCCTAATGTATGACAGGTAAAACTTATGTGCCTGGCTAGAGTCTCCATCACATTGGGTTATACAACACTCAGTGGTGATCTGAATATATACTTTATTGTATTAATAAATCATCATCATCATAAATTAAACTTGTATGCAGCCTAACGCTCAATAACTCTGGGCGGAGATTATTGATTATTATCAGACAGAAATGCTTCTCACCCCATTTCCCTCATTTTTCTAATTCAAACCTTATAAGCATCCAAGCTGGCAATCCAGCTGCCTTTGATAATTGAGCCACACCATGGTGCTTTCAAGGATGCAGCCTCACCCCACCCAGGCTGTTGGGTTAGAAAAGCAAATGCTCAGACAGAGCGGGGAAGGTGTGTGCAGGCGTATGTGTGGGAAGAAAAGTGATAAGCAAATGGCATACAGATGGGGAAGTGGAAGTGACTGAAGATTGGCAGCTATTACAAGCAGGCAAGAGGACTATCGTTCAACTGCCAGGACCACAAGTTATGGTGAGCAGCATATCCTGGTGGGAGTCCTGCCTGGAGCTTGGAGTTTTGCCAGGAGCTCAGTAGCAACTAGAAGAGGAACAGCCACACTGAAGCGGCACCTCATCTCAACTAGTGTAGAAATGTTTGGAAGAAGGCAAAGGTTGTATGCTACTTTACAGACTTTATATATTTATATAGACTTTACACATTTTATAGACTTTTGCTTGAACTAAGTATTAAGACATATTTACATGGCAACATCACCTTGCAAGTCCTAGATGGATGGAGAGCAATAGTCTGTTGTTGGGAAAGGTGCGTGCTGCAATAAAGCATTGTGTACAGATTTGTTACGATGTGGTGTATCCAGTCCTTGGAAAGCAAAGAACTGTCACAATAATTGATACTGGTTGCTTTAGTAAACCAATACAAATAATTACCAGCTTGACATCTTTCCCTGGCCTTCAGAGATCCCCCTTTAGTTTATAGTTCTAGTCTTATGAATTTTTATATTTTATTGTTTTAATTTTATAGTTTTATGTTAGTAATCCTAGCTTTTAGTTATCTTTTATCACTTACAGGCTTCAGTGGAGTTATTGAAATGGATGGAATTTTACTTTGTTCGTATGGCCAAAATAAAGTGGTGTTGACATCTTTCTTCAGTTTATGACCATATGGATCTAGTTCATTAATTATTTGGTCATTCCACTAATAATCATAGGTCAGAATTCAAATCAGAAGTAAACTAAATGACTTTATTTAACACTGAAAACTTACCAGTTTTTTTTACTTATTTCCTTTGTAAACTGCCCAGAGTTGCTTTTCAACAAGATAGGCGGTGACAAATTTGATATATAAATAAATTATTTCTATTATTTCAAGATGTTTAGAACAATTTTGTTAACTAAATTTTAAAGATAGATATTCAGATATCCCAATGGCATGATAGATAAGTTAGTTGACTTTCTCTGGATTGGTAAATTTCATAGCAAATGACACACCAAGAACCAGTCTGATGATATTTAGCTGGAAGAGCATTCCACGTTCTAGGAGTTGCTAATTATGAAAGTCACTTGCAATCATTAAATGTATATATTTAACTGATGCTGAAAGCTTAACAGTTGAGGTGGCAGTGGAACTTTCTATGGAAAAACATAACATAAGTGGGGCCAATTGTTGAGAAGACCCTGACAGATTCAAGTGGCAAGAAATAAATTATATATTCAGATCCCAAGCAATAAAACCCTTTAAAGATTTAGACTTAGAATTGTGTGCAAAACCATGCATAAAATCAGCGGAATTGTTCCATTCAACTAGTCCCATCCAACTGCTTCATTAGGCACCAGTTTGAGCTTCTGAATAGTCTTCAGACTGTAAATATATTGTAGTGGTCTCCTCTTAATTATCCGATTTGCCAGTCATGAAGATAATAATCCCTTCCAACTTTGTGATTCTATATATAGCTGTTCCCTCTGATACCAAGAGGGCAATTTATTAAACATTATCAACTTTCTGAGAACTACAACTGCACCGGTATATAAAAATAAATTTTTATACACTGTGTAAAAATTCAAAAATAGTTCTATCATAAAAATAGTGACATTCTGTAAAGACAATATTAAATGCCAGTAAATCAGTTTAAAAGCAAAAATTTTAAAAGTCTGAAGTTATTTTCTAACAGCCAAGAGAATACAGATTAATCACAACTCCAAAGGGAGTATGTGCTACAATTCAGTGAGAATGCCCTTCCCTGCAAGACTAACAAGCAAGTGTTAGCAAATGAGGTTAACTTCAAGAGGACCTCATATAAATTGTAAGACTTGACAAGGTCAAAATGAAACAGGTTATTCCTTCAGCTATTTAGAGTTTTAAAGTTAAAACCAACCAGTTGAACTTGGAAAACAGCTACTAGCAGAATTCTCAGAATAGGAGTGATATCATGCATGTATCCAGCCATTATAATTTGCTGGTTTTGAAGTTTTTAATATGCTCTTTAGCCGCAGTTCTGTGTGGAGTCTGTAGATCAAACTGAGGAATTGGTGATAATTGACACAACAATTATAGTAGCACATAGTCCTGTGGGGAGAACATAATACTAGACATTAAAAATCTGACATTTCAGGAGGAGAGGGCCCTTTTCTTAAAATATATTTAATTCTAATCTTGACCCTGCTTTCCACTGATCAACACCACTACCATATTGCTAGGATTTAATAATCAGCTTGCTTGTCAAACCTGAGCAGTCATCAGAGACATTAACTTTCTTAGGGAATAAAGAGCAACAGCAACAGGGCTAAGTATCAGCTTTGGTGGCTTTATATAAATATTAAGGACCAGGATAGAATCTCAAGATGGAAAAATATTACTGCCCAGGTTTTGTAATCATAGATTCCATATCTTGAAGGAGCCAGTCACATTCTCTTGGCTATTTTTGCTATCTTGCAAACCACATTCATATAGTTACCTTTATGAGAGCTATTAGGAACAGGGTATATGGGGTGTGACAGAGTTTATATCTATCCTGTCCTTAGATTCAGACAGATCAAGTTCCAGTAAAGAGTCAAAGCAAAGAGTTCAATATTGGTAACCAGCATTCAGAGAGTTGATAGGAAGGTGCCATCAAATTGAAATAATCATTCCAGGAATCAATTAATTCAATTGATTCAATCAATTGAATCAGAACACAAAATCAAGCGATCATATATATTGTTCCAGTTTTGACTGCTCTCAAGCAGAAGTTTTTATACTGAAATTCCTGGCTTCCTCATAAGTAGTGCTGACACTGATCAGCACTTCTTGTAAAAATTCAGCTACTCACAAGTAATAACCTACTTCTGAATAGACTTTTATTGCCAAACAGTCTACTATTTCCAGGCACTTTTCCAGCAGTCTGCCATTCCTTCTTCTGTGCCCTTTGACTCTTGACACAATGGTCTCTATGCAAACCCAATCCTCTTGCAGTCAGAATGGAAAGTGAGAGACACTACAGGATTGTTCTATAAAAATTGCCATGCTAAGCATGGCACCATTATATCAGACTTTCCAAATCCTTTGGCCAGCTCCTGCTTTTCCCCTTCCTCCTCAGAAGAGGATTAGTCCAAAGAGGTATGACAAGGCTTAAAGCTAATAAAGGTGTAGCCATAAAAATATCCTCACCCTCCAAAAGAGGCAGTTATTGTGTGGATTGGGGAAGTCCACATATCAGAGGACCAAACAGTGAAACAAATTTCAGAGTCTGCTGTGATTTTGCAAGTGCGTGCAAAAGCTTCATTTCTGGCATTGTAGCAATCACTGACATAAAGTGGGGAGAGGGTTACCCTGGCCTGTCATGCTAAGGAAACAATAATGCCCCCTGGAGCACAGTGACTGGCAAAAGAGTCATTCATTTGCCAGCAAATTGCCTGAAAATAGATCATACACAGTTATTTCTGCACCATTACTGTTGTCTCCTTAAGATTCATGATGCTGTATATAGTAGCTTTTTTCTAAGGAGATTATTTTATTCCAACCAACAAGGATTTGAGAGCAAATACATTAAATGTTAGATTTTTCTGTCAGATTTCAGTGTTAGACTTTCTTTCGCAGTAGATTAAAATGTTCCAAGTCTTAAACATCAAAATACATTTAATGTCTAAAGTCATGTTTATAAAGCAGAACTGATATTTACTTGGGCTCTGTAGAGATCAGGATGTGAGTTAGAGCGCACAGGGGTTGTAAGTAGCATCGGAACACCGTAAACCAATCATGTCTTTTCCTGAGATCGTGGATCAGCTCTGGAGAGCAGCCGCACAAGTCTAGGAAAAGAAGCAGCTGGTTTAAAGTCTTCCTGACAGGTATTACATTTTTGCCCACGTGTGCTTTAATTACATTTTGCCCTTCTTATCTGGATCTCTGCACAGCCCTAGTGTTTCCTTCTATGCACTGTGTACATGCGAACACATATTTATTTGCTATTGTAATTCTGTGGAAGGTAGAATTCAAACACTACAAAGAAGTGCTTTTTCTTTTGTAAAAACTCATGCTTTTATATAATTATATATTCCTTATCCTCCAAGTGATTCTTTTTTTGTTTTTGGCTGTCTGAATCCTGATTATTGCACTTTCCATTCTTCTGTTCTTAAATTTTAGCTTCAGTTTTATTTGTTTTAGGGTTAGACATATTTTTTTGCGAATATTTGTACTATTTTTTCTTATATTGTGATGCCTGATGTCTTTTTGAATTAATGAATCTGTTGATCTGTACCTGTATATTTTCCTTACTCAAAGCATTTTACTGTTTGGTTTTGCTTATTCACGCTTACTGTCAGTACATACTGAATGCTAAGTCATAACAATATCTTAGTACCCTTGAAAAATGAAAAAAAAATCCATAAACATTTTTTTCTTTTGTTGTAGGTGTTGGGCTTTGAAATAGATACCGTGAACTCTGTCCAGTTTTCAAATCATACAGGTAAGTCTGCGTGCCTGTGTAATCTAGTCTATTATAATGTCAGAATAATTTATGCCTACAGAAATTCCCCTTAGTGTTTAGAAATGCTACTGGCAGTATCCAGTGAATGGTTCTAGGTGTATCTATTCCTTCCTTCCTTCCTTCCTTCCTTCCTTCCTTCCTTCCTTCCTTCCTTCCGTGACAACAAAGACGTTCTGCACATTAGCACTCTGAAACCAGACAGCTATGAACTTGACAGCCTTTACTTATATGATATCCATCCCATACTCAAAGAAGGGGGAAGAGGCAGAGGTTAGGTATCCAGAAGCAGAAACCTGTGAATCCCCTCAAACCCAGATACATAGTCAGAATCAGACCCTTTTCTCACCCATCTCCATGGAGTCTGAAACAGAACTGCAAGTCTTAAATCCATGAGAGTAAAGGTGCCATTGTGTAGGAGCCCCACAAGTTGAATGTACCAGACTGTAAGGCCAGATGCCTTGAGGGTAATGAATCCCAGCTGTGGGTTAATCTCATGCCAGCTGAGCTTTTGGGGGAGAGTTCTCTGAGAAAAGTGGGGGACCCTCATCTTTTTGGCCCATGGTTGGAATCCTAGTGCAAACTATCCAGACTTTGATTCTTGACTAGCTACTGACTTTTTCTGACTTGGTAGAAGTACAGCTACAACCCTTAGGATTAGACTAGGTTTGCCCAGTTGATAATTATTGTGGTGAATGATTATTGTGCTCCAGTTTGGGACTATCTGATTATTTATCTCAGTATCCCTGGAACTATTTGGTTCAGAAGCAATAGAAATGATAGCAAAGGCTACTCTTGACAGTAGCCCAGTCCAACATATACCTAGCATGCTATGTCCTACAGAAAAGCCCAAGTTAAAAAAGACTTAACTCCTTTGGTTTTAACCAGTTGCTAGGCAACATGTCTTCTGCATAGATGATTAGGTCTGCTTTCTGAATGAGCTCTGTTGCTATACATTTGAGCATTTAAGGTAGCCTTCCCCATTTTAATGCTGTCCTAGAAATGTGTGGATTACAGTTCCCAGAACCTCTCCTTCAATGTAATTCTTTACCTCCTCTAGTTATGGATAGCTGTTTAGATAGTTCAAAAATACTATCCTATCTTCCTTTCATCCATTTGCCAGGCTGAACAGTCACAGCTCTGTCAGCTGATTTCTCTGGGACTTGGTTTCTAGACCCTCACCTTCCTTTGAGTCAGGCCAACATCTAGGTCAGTGCATGATAATAGTGGATCTCCTGTTGTTTTTCTCTGAAATTTGCCATTTAGTGTTCAGTAGAGGAGACTCAAAAAGGTTAGGAGTATTTCCTAAAGAAATAATAACTCCTTTGCCAGGTGTTCTCATTGTAAAATAAGAACTTTTTTTTAATGTCTCATTTGAATGCTTCTGTACTACCCTAGTGATTTCAGGGTTCCTGAAGTTATTTATAATTACTTCTTTTCACACATTCACCTAAAGATCTCAAGAACTTCTAGATTAATATCTTTCTTTGTTGTTTTCCTCAATGTTAGCTCTTCGCATAATCCAGAACTCTAATAAATCAGGTTTCCAAATCATGTGGATGCTTGTATTTTGTTTATTTTAATGCAGGCATAATTCGCCTTCATATCTTCAGTGGAAAGTGCAGATATCAGGGAGAGAAAGGGGCAAAGACAGTGCATGTGCCTTATTTTCTACCCAGTTTGAAGGTCTCATATGCTCAGCTGAGGACCATCATGCATATTTCATCAGAATGTCCACAAGAAAAACTCTACTAAGTATTTAAAAAAGGACATGCATTATGACCAAAATCACAGGCAAAACAATAGTTAAGAAGAGGTTACAGTTGTAACCCGTATTTGCTGTTGTGAACAGCAGTGTACTTGCCAGCCTTTTGCAAGTCTTTGAATCTACATCTTCACAGGGAGAGATGCTCTTTCTAGGCCGGGTGCTTGAGGAGAGGTGTTTCAATCCTAAGATAGTCCTAAGATAGACCAGGTTTCATCTTTTAAAGGGGGAAACAAGGCTAAGAAGAGAAATTGGGCATACAGTATCCCGTCTCTCCCACAATCCTCACAGTTAACTGACTGAAATCTCTGGGGATCTGGAGGGACTAACTAAAACAGAAATCTGTCTCAAGACAATGACTATTTTTGAGATAGATGTAAAAATAGCTATGCAGTCCTTGGGGTTCTCTGAGCTTGGTTGTTTTCTTGCAAACGTTTCATTACCCGGCTAGGCAACATCTTCAGTACTAGAATGGAATGGGTTTGCTCTCTGTTCATATACGGTGGCATGCCCGCCAATGTTGGTGTGGGTGGAGGTGTGAGTTTTGTTTTATTTTTTATTTTCCTCCCCTCTGGTAGTTCCTTGATTAGGGTATTGTTTACTGCTTGATTGTATGTCTG